TGTATAAGACATTTGGACACTATCCTGTTGGTGGAGGCAACCCTAGACTTTGATTCTAAGAAGGGATGCAGTGAAGCTTGAAGTCTCATTTTAACTAGAGTTTCATCAGCAAGTTTCATTCATAGCAAGCTGTCTGCAATGTTCACAGAGTTAAAACATGCCCTTACTTTCCTCACCAATATCTTTTTCCAAAGTATATACAAAGAAGATTGGGGAACAGAAGGCCAGTGATGTGTGATATTTTGTAAGGCTGTAGAAATTACCATTGTAACCAAATCAGATATGACTCTGTGTGATGCTGCGGGTTGGATCTTGCAGGATTTCACTGCTGTTTCAAAATCCCAAGTGTAATGTGCAAATAAACCCTTAAAATATATAATTAAAGTACAAAGACTCTTGTGCTCCTATTGGCCAGGTGTTGTGCCATTTCTAATGCCTGTGGAATCACTGGAATGGTAAGCCCTTTGAAGAAAAAATGCAGTATAGCAAATTAATAAAATGTCACTTTGCTCTTAATTAAATGATTTTGTGTGATTTTATTGGAGCAAAGATGCATGTTAAAAGTGAGTGCAGAAATTCTTGTCCTTGAGAGTCAGTGTATACCTTGAAGTTCTTTTTTCCCCAAGCCTAAGTATTAAAAAAGTTATTGTTAATCATCATCACTATCATCATCATAATCTCTGTCTTTCACCCCTGGAAGTACACAGGTTCTTCTCAGGGTGCTTTGTTTGGTTTTAAAACCATGTTTTGCTTCCAAACATATATGGAACTGACTAGGGCTCAGAGAACCCATACTGGCTGAGGATTTTCGGGAATTGTAGTTAAAAAAAACCAAATAAACCCTTCTCCAAACACTGTACAAGACCATGTAGGTATTAGGAAGGGTTTGTTTGTTATACGTACATCTCCAATGAAAGGCTCACTTTCAAAAGTCCCTTCTTCCTATCTTCTGATCATCTAGGAGGCATATTCTGCCTCTTTCACATGCTACTGTCTGTAGAGCCATCTGTGTGCCAGGTGTTGTACAAAACATTGAAAGTGATACTGCCTGGTCTAGAGAGGATTTAGAGACTCTATAGATGCTTTGACAACACCAGAATCACATGATACACACTCCAGGTGTTTACAAAAGTTTGGTTGAGAACTTACCTAACCAAGACACTCCTTCAAAGAGGTATGCAATCTAATATAAGGAACCAACAGAAACCACAGACAACATTGGGTGCTTCACCCTTCCGATGATCTCCTAAGTGGGAAAGAATTATTTAGGGATGGCCTGTTATTCTGACTCAGAAGGAGGCAGGATCCTATCTTTTACTAATAACAAAGCTATTGGAAAATCCATTTGTGGCACCTATTCCTTGTTCTGCTTTTTATGTTGTGAGCCAAGCGGAAGGCGGGGAGAGGCATCTGTTGTTTTGCTGTTGTTACCCCCCCCCTTCCACTGACAGAAGCAGAAAAGAACTGAGAGTGGCATCTCGTTGTGACTATTTCTGATGCACGCCAAAGAAACAAGAGCGCTTAAGATGTGGTTTAGTTGGCTGGATAGCTCAGTGGAACCAGAGTTTGGGAGTTCAGTCCCCCACTGTGCTTCCCAGGAGAAGAGCCCGCCTGTGTGGTCATGGACAAGTGGCATACTCCCAGGGCACCCCCAGAAGTGAACGGCAAACTAACTCTGAGTATTCTCTACCTGGAAAACCCTGAAAAGGGTCACCATAAGCCAGAACTGACTTGTGGGCACACGATGATGATGATGATGATGATGATGATGATGATGATGATGATGATGATGATGATGATGTGGTGTATCCATGTCTGTCACAATACACCATTTTCCCTGTTTCCACCTACCTTTCCCTTCTTAAACGAAAGATGTCTGTGGAATTCTAAAGCCCTCAAAGACTTACTTCAGCAGTAATATCTCACTTGACATAGTTTATATTTATTGTCATATTTTAAAATGTAGGTGACTGTAATGATCCATTAGAACAGGAACTCTCAACATAACAGTAGATTTATGTGGCCAGCAATAGAGTCAAATGAAATGCCTCATCATAGTGAGTAGCAAGCTTTGAAGTTCCGCTGAACTTTTCTGGAGTCTCTGCATTTAAAAAAGAAAGCAGGACTGAGGAAGAAAATAAATGTCCCTGTGCATTTTGCAAAGTATAGATTTGGGGCTTTTCATAATGATCTCCTCCTCCTGCTTCACCGCACCCCATTTTTATTTATTTATTGGCTTTACAGGCAATTTGACAAGTTCTGGCAACTTCAAAGCATCTTCGCTATTTAGTGACATTTTAGTTGTTCTTTTGGCTCTTCGTGAAGCTATTAGTTTGCTGCTTAGTTGTTTTTCTTTTTTTGTGGGAGTAATCTAATTGCTATTGGGAATGTTCGCGGAAAAATAATACTCCTATTAGAAAGTGCATTCCTTATAATAGGTGACTTTTCTAAAAGTTGACCGCTTCTTTGGTGCTAAACATCTTTAACTGCCTCCGTCCCCCTCCTCCGGTGCGAAACTCAAGATATGTTAAACAGAATAATGGAATTAAATAAGTGTTCAGCATTGCAGATAAGGAGCGTGAGGTCAGAAATATAGCTCTGTGGATAGTTTCTTTTCTCCTGCGGTCGCATCAGGGACCAACTCGGGCAGAGAGAGAGAGAGAGGCTCCTGTCAAGCTTTGCAGGACAATCCTAGAGAGCGCCGCTTGGGACTCGGTGGGTCGCGCTACCGGGGTATAGGAGTACCATCTGTGGCTGTAAAGCAAAAGGGCATCGAGGGGGGGAGGGGGAACCCCACTGCCGTTGAGTTGTTCCCGCGCGATGCTGAGGTGGCGAGTTGGCACCGGAGAGAGTTTTGGCAGGCGAGCCCGAGTCTCCGTTTCGACGGGACCCCGGGAAGCGCGGGCTGCTGTGAAGGGCGCGGGCGGGCGCGCCGTCTCGCAAGGGCACGGCTGAGAGCCGGCAGGAAGAAGCCGACGGTTATTTTATCTAGCCGCCCCTTTCTCCGGACAGAGCTCGGGCGGGCGGGAGTGTGTTTCTCCGCCGTTCCCTCAAACTTTAGCATCACCGGAGACCCGCGTCGCCTGTTTCCTGTGCCGCTCGC